TATGATGTCTTAACCCCTTGAGTATGATGTCTTAACCTTGAGTGATGTCTTAACCCCTAGAGTATGATGTCTTAACCCCTCGAGTATGATGTCTTAACCACCTTGAGTATGATGTCTTAACCCTTGAGTATGATGTCTTAACCCCTTGAGTATGATGTCTTAACCCCTTGAGTATGATGTCTTAACCCTTGGTATGATGTCTTAACCACCTTGGTATGATGTCTAACCCCTTGGTATGATGTCTTAACAGTATGATGTCTTAACCCCTTGAGTATGATGTCTTAACCCCTTGAGTATGATGTCTTAACCGAGATGCTTCCCAGTATATGTCTTAACCCTAGTATGATGTCTAACCCTGGTATGATGTCTTAACCATGATTCTTACCCAGTATGATGTCACCCCTGGTATGATGTCTTAACCCCTTGAGTATGATGTCTTAACCCTTGAGTATGATGTCTTAACCCTTGAGTATGATGTCTTAACCCTTGAGTATGATGTCTTAACCCCTTGAGTATGATGTCTTAACCCCTTGGTATGATGTCTTAACCCTAGAGTATGATGTCTTAACCCCTCGAGTATGATGTCTTAACCCCTTGAGTATGATGTCTAACCCTCCCTTAGTATGATGTCTTACCTCAGTATGATGTCTTAACCTTTCTCCACTCCATCTCCTTCTCTTCCCAAACACCACTCCATTTCTTCCCTCTCCCTCCCCTTACTACCATCTCCCCTCCCCCTCCCCCCTCCCCTCCTCCCTTCCCCCTCCCCTCCTCTCACCCACGGAAAAAACAAACATCTGTGAATATCATTTGGCTTCACACAGGCAATTTTCACCTGCAGTTTAGGGAAAAAGACAGACAGACAGACAGACAGACAGACAGACAGACGAACCAGACGAACAGACAGACAGATAGACAGACAGATCTTGTAGATCCAAATTATCAAATATAAAAGTGTTATAATAATTATTCTCCTTATTTTGTTTATAAATGATCTTTCAGTTATTTTGGGTCTGTTATGTTGTGTTAGTATTGCTTTAATTACACACACACACACACACACACACACACACACACACACACACACACACACACACACACACACACACACACACACACACACACACACACACACACACACACACACTCACACACACACACACACACACACACACACACACACACACACACACACACACACACACACACACACACACACACACACCCACACACACACACACACACACACACACACACACACACACCACACACACACACACACACACACACACACAGACACACAGACACACACACACACACACACACACACACACACACACACACAACACACACACACACACACCTACCTCTCTCTCTCTCTCTCTCTCTCTCCTTCCCTTAATCACATCAGTTTGTGGAGAAAGACGGGCTCGAGGTTTAATTAGTGAGGTGTGTGTGTTTTAACGGTGGAGCAAGAAGAGGAGGAGCAGGAGGAAGAAGAACTGGAGGAGGAGGAGGATGAACTGGAGGAGGAGGAAGAACTGGGAGGAGGGAGGAGGAAGAACTGGAGGAGGAGGAGGAGGAGGGAGGAGCAGGGGGAAGAACTGGAGGAGGAGGAGGAAGAACTGGAGGGAGGAGGAGGAGGAAGAACTGGAGGAGGAGGAGGAGGAGAGAGATGGAGGAGGAGGAGGAGGAGGAGGAGGAGATGGAGGAGGAAGAGGAGAGATAGAGGAGGTAGGAGGGAATGAAGTTAAGTCTGATGGACAGAGAGGAGATTTCCTTCTCCTTCTTCTCTCTCTCTCTCCAATTTTCCGGATTAGTTGGTATAATTCAGTTTCAAAATATACGCCATAATTCCGGGGATTCAAACAGTATCATAAATGTTTACTGGAGCTAACGGACTCCTAACGGTTTTAACGGATTTAAACGGTCGTCGAGGGTTTAAATTTGTTCTCTTTGAAATTCTGTTTTAGAATAATAATAATAATAATAATAATAATAATAATAATAATAATAATAATAATGAAGAAGAAGAACAAGAACAAGAAGAACAAGTAGAACAAGAAGAAAGTAATGTGTTAAGTAACTCACGTAATTTAAAAAGTGAATTACCAGCGAGTGTAACTTTCCGTGTGGCTAGTAGGTATCGAATACTGCAAAGAGAAAGTAGAGAAGAAAAGTACGTATCTAACAATATACTGCCATTGTTACTTTCCTTGCACTGAAAATTACCTTGAGTTTAAAAATTACTAACAGAAAGTACAAGAAGGCAAGAAGAAAGTATCCCTCAGAGAACTTTCTCTGTGGAATGACGATCTTAGAAAGTACCACAGTAGAAAAGTTTTGAGAAGTAGTAGTTAGGATTTGAGAAAGTAAAGGAGAAAGTAGCATGCACTCCAAAATAGTCTGATACTGTACAACTTTTTCTGTGTTGGAAAGTACTACACGATTCTAAAATAAAGATTAAATAAAAAAATATTGATTTTTTTAATAGAAAGTACACTGAAGAGAAAGTATGATGCAGGCAACAAATTCACAAGACTACAACTTTCCCTGTCTTGGAAAGTACTTCATAAAATTATGGAAAACAAGAAAAGGAAAGTACCACATGACAACTAATATTAGAAAGTATACAAGAGAAATAATATGCAAAAGATAAAGTATAAAAGAGAAAGTATAAAGAAGAAAAAGTATCATACAACAGAAAAAGTTTTAGCAAAAGAAAGTATATAAGAGAAAGTATATGAGAACAAGTATTAAACAAGAGATAGAGTGAGAGAAAGTTTGACGCAAGCCACAATACAGTGGGAGTGCAACACTCTCCCGTGTTGGCCAAAACCTTGTTAAGACACAGACCTCTGCCTGGCTCAGGTGCTGCTGACCCCTCACGAAACACACTAAACTCAACCTTTTAACACAACAACAACAAAAATTAAACACAAAAAACAATCAAACACAAATCACTCTTTTTCCCCGTTTCGTACAAGGAGAATTAGCCATAAGGACCAAGATAATGGTAATCCACACATCAGGAGGACAGTAGGTGGGTGGGTTCGTACACTGAATAAGGATTTACGACCATAATCCATCAAGAAGTCAAGGTAGTGTCTTTATTTGCTGCTGCTGCTCTGGCTGGCTGGAATACTGTGTAAGGCTTTCACGGTGATTACTACCCAACCACCACCAACCACCACCACTAACTACATCAACCACCACCACCTGTAAAACCAACCACCACCACTATTACTAACTAACCACCACTACTATTATTAACCAACATCACCACTATTAAAAACAAACACCACCACCACTGTCTTACAACCACCACCACTATTACTAACCAACCACCACCACTATTACTAACCAACACACACTATTACTAACCAACCACCACCACTATTAAAACCAACCACCACCACTATTACTAACCAACCATCACCACTATTAAAACCAACCACCACCACCTTGCCTTACCAACCACCACCACTATTACTAACCAACCTACTATTATTAACCAACCATCACCACTATTACTAACTAACCCACCACTATTACTAACCAACCACCACCACTATTACTAACCAACCACCACCACTTTACTTATCACACCACCACTATTAAAAACCAACCACCACCACTTTACTAACTAACCACCACCACTATTATTAACCAACCATCACCACTATTAAAACCAACCACCACCACCACTATTACTAACCAACCACCACCACATTACTAACCAACCACCACCACTAACCTTATCAACCACCACTATCAAAACCAACCACCACCACTTTACTAACTAACACCACCACTATTGAAACCAACCACCACCACCACTGTACTTACCAACCACCTTTGCTAATCAGCCACCTACCATTAAACCAACCACCACCACTATTAAAACCAACCACCACCACCTATTATAACCAACCACACCACTATTACTAACCAACCTACCACTTTACTAACCAACCATCACTTTACTAACAACCATCACCTTTACTAACCAACCACCACCACTACTATAACTAACCACCACACTATTAAAACCAACCACCACCACTATTACTAACTAACCACCACACTATTACTAACCAACCACCACCACTATTACTAACTACCACCACTATTACAACAACCACCACCACTATTACTAACAACCATCACCCTATTACAACCAAACATCACCTTTACTAACCAACCATCACCACCACTACTACTATTACTACTACTATTATTTATTCAAAGGCTTAATTCATCGTACTCAAGGAGAAGAAGCGAGAAAAGAAAATTTGGATATTAGACATTATATTATGACACTGAATGGATGTGGGTGATGATGAGGAGGAGGGAGGAGGAGGAGGGAGGAGGAGGAAGTCTGAGATCAAAGGCTGGAAGGGAAGAAGGATGGAGGGGAGGAGGAGGAGGAAGGACAGGAGGAAAGGAGAGGAAGTAAAAGACATTAACATTGGTGATGTGAACCAGAGATATAACCAATAACCTCCACATAATCGCAATCATCAATCACAAGACGTAAACTACCTTACACACCAACCACTTCATACAGGTCCCAGCTAAACGATTAAGTTAGCAACACGGTGGACGAGTTAGTTGGGCCGAGTTTGGATTACTATAAACACGTTCTAAACTTTAGGGAGGGGGGGTAGGGGAAGTGGGAGGAAAGGGGTTATTGGGCAGGGAGAGGGACGGTGGAGGGGTAAGGTAGGGGGGAGGTGGTGTAAAACAATATTATTAGCCAATTCCCAAGTTTCAACCGCGAGGAGGACGTGTTGGACTGAATTTATAAATGTATTCGGAACTTTTTCGTTGATTTTTTTTTGGACTGTGAAGATAAGGTGTTACAGGGGTAGGGCCATGACTCTGTGTATTAATAACACAAGGTAATGATGATCCCCGCTGTGTCGTCCACCATTCCTGTCAATAACTTACACAATAATCAAACTGCACAGCAAATTTCATACTCCTTACAGAAGTACCTGAGCTATGTGCTGGATGTGGTGTGGAGATGTTGTCAGCCCCGTCATGGTCGCCCACCACGCCGGAGTCGTCGAGGGAGGGCTGGCGGTGGGCGGCGTTATTGGCCAGGCGGAGGTGAGGTCTAGGGTCGTCACAACCGCCCCTTAGGGCCACTAGGCCTGGCACCGCTGCCTGCTGCTGCTGCTGCCGGGAGTGGCAGTGACGGTCAGCAGCGGGTGGAGGCGGCAGAGCAAGGGTCACACGACGAAGACCCACCCGTCCCACCTTCTCTCGGGGCGGCCAGGCCTTGGCAGCGCCCCAGGGACGAAGAGTGGGGCGGGTGGGCCTGGGCAGGGGGCAGGGCGGTGGAGTGATGACGAGAGAGGCGGGCCGAGAGAGCGACTGGAGGCCCTCAGACCCCCCCAGCTGAGACCCCCCCAGCCGTGGTGGGTTGGGGGCGCCGCAGGTTCCCTGATGGTGTCGTCGGACGAGGGGCTCCCCGGCCTTACCTTCCTTCTCCTCCTTCTTCTTCTTCCTCTTGGAGAACTTGTCAGTGAGGATCCCGGCGCCGCGCATCACGATCACACGTCTGTTCTTTGGCTTCTTCTTCTCCAGGGGCCGCGCGTGGGTCAGCTTCTCCGGGTCGAAACTGAAGGTGGAGTCGTCCCGATGGTCCATGAGGTCCTTCGTCTTCTCCTGAGGGAAGATAGGTCAGAGGTTAATACTTGTTGTGTGTCACTCCCACCTTTATAACCTACGCCAGACGTCCGTTCGCCAGCCCCTTTCTTCACTCTAGATATATAACTACTTAAGGTACATAACTCTGAACCCTAAAATACCAAATGTTTTTGTACCTAAACCTAAAATTATAAAACATTTAGGTATTTAAACCACAAATACCAGAACCAAGATCGTGACACACACACACACACACCAACATCCAACCTTAACACAACCTCCAAAAACTTTCTTTTAAACTCTGAAACAAACCCTCTCCCCTCTTCCTCCTTCCCTCCTCTCCCCGTACCCTGCACTCCCCACCTCTCGTATCCTCCACTCCCCTCCCTCCCACCCTCCACCCCTCTTCTCTGCGCCTCCACTCCCTCCACCTCTCCGTACCCTCCCTCCCCTCACCTCTCCGTACCTCCTCCCTCACCTCTCATACCTCCTCCCCTCACCCCTCCATCCCTCCCTCCCCCCACCTCTCCGTACCCTGCACTCCCCTCCCTCACCCTCCCTCCCCTCTTCTCTGCATGCCTCCACTCCCCTCACCTCTCCATGCCCTCCCACTCCCTCACCTCTCATGCCCCTCCCTCCCCTCACCTCTCCCATGCCCTCCACTCCCCTCCCACCTCTCCATGCCCTCCACTCCCCTCCCCTCCATACCCTCCCTCCCCTCCCCTCTCCCGTGCCCTACACTCCCCTCACCTCTCCGTACCCTCCCTCCTACCTCTGCATACCCTCCCTCCCCTCACCTCTCCACCTCCTCCCTCACCTCTCCGTACCTCCCTCCCCTCACCTCTCCATGCCTCCTCCCCTCACCTCTCCATGCCCACCCACTCCCTCACCTCTCCACCCTCCCTCCCCTCACCTCTCCACCTCCCTCCCACCTCCTCCCATGCCCCTCCTCCCCTCTCTCCCGTACCCTACTCCCTCCTCTCCGTACCCCTCACTCCCTCACCTCCCTTCCCCTCCCCTCACCTCTCCCTTCCCCTCCACTCCCCTCACCTCTCCACCCTCCACCCCTCACCTCTCCATGCACCTCCCTCCCCCCACCTCCTGCCCTCCTCCACCCCCTGCACTCCCCTCCCCTCACCCCTCCCTCCCCTCACCTCTCCGTACCTCCACTCCCCTCACCTCTCCATACCCTTCACTCCCTCCCTCTCGTACCCTCCCTCCCCTCACCTCTCCATGCCCTCCCTCCCCTCACCCCTCTCCATCCCTCCACTCCCTCACCTCCTCCATGCCCTCCCTCCCCTCACCTCTCCATCCTCCTCCCCTCACCTCTGCACCTCCTCTCACCTCTCTGCCCTCCCTCCCCTCACCTCTCCTCCCTCCTCCCCTCCTCTCCTGCCCTCCACTCCCTCACCTCTCATACCCTCCCCCTCACCTCCCCTCCTCCCCTCCTCTCCTTCCCTCCCTCCCCTCACCTCTCCATGCCCTCCACCCCTCACCTCTCCTTCCTCCCTCCCCTCACCTTCATGCCTCCCTCCCCTCACCTCTGCATCCCTCCCTCCCCTCCCACCTCATCCTCCTCCCCTCACCTCTGCATGCCTCCCTCCCCTCCCCTCTCCATGCCCTCCCTCCCTCCCCTCTCCATGCCTCCTCCCCTCCCACCTTCCTCCCTCCACTCCCCCTCTCGCACCTCCACTCCCCTCACCTCTCCATACCCTCCCTCCCCTCACCTCTCCATGCCCTCCTCCCCTCACCTCTCCATCCCCTACCTCCCCCTCCTCCATACCCTCCACCCCTCACCTCTCCATGCCCCTCCACTCCCCTCACCTCCCCACTCCCTCCCTCCACCTCTCCGCCCTCCCTCCCCTCTCTCTCCACCCTCCCTCCCCTCCACCTCTCCATCCTCCTCCCCTCACTTTCCCCCTCCCCCCTCCCTCTCGCCTCCCTCCCTCTCTCTCACCCCCTCCCTTTCTCCTTTTTCACTTCCCAGAGAAAGTACCAGCGCTAAACCCCATCCAATCTCAGATGATTTTTTTTTGTTCAATTTCTTAAAGTTTGACCCAAGTGACGAGTGAATGAAAATGGCTCCACCTTTCACTGGCTTTCTCTTCCTCTCCTTGATCAACTTTCTCTTTCTGTACTTCATCCACTTTCTTGTATGTATGTATGTATGTATGTATGTATGTATGTATGTATGTATGTATGTATGTATGTGTATATGTATGTATGTGTATATGTATGTATGTATGTATGTATGTATGTATGTATGTATGTATGTATGTATGTATGTATGTATGTATAGGTATGTAAGCATATAAAAAACGAGGCGAGTCAAGATTCAGTTAAATTTATCTAAATATTTTATTTAGTCAGGAAAGAAGGAGGAGAGGGGAGGAAGAGGAGGAGGAAGGAGAGGAAGAATAAGAGAGGGAAGAAGGGCGCTTAAAGCACCCTTCTTCCTTCACACTTTTATTCGTTCTCCTCCTCCTCCTGTTTCTTCCTCCTCCTTATGCTTTATCCTTCCCCCTCCTCCCTCCTGCGTCACTCACACCTCGTCACTCCCCTCCCTCCTGGCGCCACACCTCCCTCCTGGCGTCACTCATTCTTGCCCCCCTCCCTCCGGCCACTCACACCTGGCGTCACTCACACCTCCTCCTGGCGTCACTCACACCCCCTCTTGGCGTCACTCATTCTTGCCCTCCCCCTCCTGGCGTCACTCACACCTCCTCCTGGCGTCACTCATTCTTGCCCCCTCCCTCCTCCTGGCGTCACTCACACCTGGCGTCACTCACCTCCTCAGTGTTCTCGGCCTCCTCCTCGTAACTCATCGCCACTACAGCCAGCATCAGGTTGATCAGGTAGAAGGAACCAAAGAACACCACAATGGCGAAGAACACTACCTGCAGCGGTCCTCCCGTGGCGATCACCTGTAGAACACCGTCAGTTATGATGAACACGGTAGATGTAACACTAGAACACACTGAGTTATGATGAACACACTAAGTTATGATGAACACACTAAGTTATGAAGAACACACTAAGTTATGATGAACACACTAAGTTATGATGAACACACTAAGTTATGAAGAACACACTAAGTTATGAAGAACACACTAAGTTATGATGAACACACTAAGTTATATAGAACACACTAAGTTATGATGAACACACTAAGTTATGATGAACACACTAAGTTATGATGAACACACTAAGTTATGAAGAACACACAAGTTATGAAAGAAGAACACACTAAGTTATGAAGAATACACTAAGTTATGAAGAACACACTAAGTTATGAAGAACACACTGTTAAATGAACACACTAAGTTATGATGAACACAGACTCACCTTGGTATAGACAGGTGTAAACAGACTCACTTTGGTATAGACAGGTAAACAGACTCACCTTGGTATAGACAGGTGTAAACAGATTCACCTTGGTATAGACAGGTTAAACAGACTCACTTTGGTATAGACAGGTGTAAACAGACTCACCTTGGTATAGACAGGTGTAAACAGATTCACCTTGGTATAGACAGGTGTAAACAGACTCACCTTGGTATAGACAGGTGTAAACAGATTCACCTTGGTATAGACAGGTGTAAACAGATTCACCTTGATATAGACAGGTGTAAACAGACTCACCTTGTTGTAGACAGGTGTAAACAGACACACCTTGGTATAGACAGGTGTAAACAGACTCACCTTGTTGTAGACGTCCTCCCAGAAGTCAAGTGTAATGAGTTGGAAGGTGGTGAGCATTGACCACAGGAAGTTGTCGAAGTTGGTGTAGCCGAAGTTGGGATTATCACCTACGTCAGGCAGGCATCCGTACCCCTCAGGACACACCCTAGTAGAAGAGAGAATTGTTGTAGTTGTGGTAGGAGTGGTGGTAGTTGTGGTAGGAGTTGGTGGTAGTTGTGGTAGGGGTGGTGGTAGTTGTGGTAGGGGTGGTGGTAGTTGTGGTAGGAGTTGGTGGGTGTGTAGTTGGGGTAGGTGTGTGAGGTGGTGGAGTTAGTGGTAGTTGTGGTAGGAGTTGCAGTTGTGGTAGGTGGTGGTAGTTGTGGTAGAGTTGGTGGTAGTTGTGTAGGTGGTGGTAGGAGTTAGTGGTAGTTGTGGTAGGAGTAGGTGGTAGTTGTGTTAGAGTTGGTGGTAGTTGAGGGAGTTGGTGGTAGTTGTGGTAGGAGTTGGTAGTTGTAGGTTGGTGGTGTGCAGGAAAGTGTGGTGGTAGTTGTGGTAGGAGTTGGTGGTAGTTGTGGTAGGTGGTGGGTGTTGTGGTAGGAGTTGGGGTGAGGTGGTAGGAGAGGGTAGTTGTGTTAGAGTGAGAAGTGTGGTAGGAGTTGGTGGTAGTTGTGGTGGTGAGTTGTGGTAGTTGTGGTAGGTGTGGTGAAGTTGTGGTAGGGAGTGGTGGTAGTTGTGGTAGGAGTTGGTGTGTAGTTGTGGTAGGTGTGGTGGTAGTTGTGGTAGGAGTTAGTGGTAGTGTAGGTGGCAGTGGGTAGTGTGTGGTAGGAGTTGGTGGTAGTTGTGGCAGGAGTTGGGTGGTTGTTGTGTAGGGTTGGTGGTAGTTGTGTAGGTGGTGGTAGTTGTGGTAGGGGTGGTGGTAGTTGGGGAGGGGTTATGGGTAGTTGTGGTAGGTGTGGTGGTAGTTGTAGGGGTGGTGGTAGTTGTGTAGGGGTTGGTGGTAGTTGTGGTAGGTGTGGTAGTTGTAGGAGTTGGTGGTAGTTGTGGTAGGGGTGGTGGTAGTTGTGGAGTTGTGGTAGGTGGTGGTAGTTGTGGTAGGTGTGGTGGTAGTTGTGGTAGGTGTGGTGGTAGTTGTGGTAGTGGTGGTAGTTGTGGTAGGTGGTGGTAGTTGTGGTAGGTGTGTGGTAGAAGGTAGGTGGTGGTAGTTGTGGTAGGTGTGGTAGTTGTGGTAGGTGGTGGTAGTTGGTAGGTGGTGGTAGTTGCGGTAGGTGTGGTGGTAGTTGCGGTAGGTGTGGTGGTAGTTGCGGTAGGTGTGGTGGTAGTGGTAGGTGTGGTGGTAGTTGTGGTGTGGTGGTAGTTGTGGTAGGTGGTGGTAGTTGTGGTAGGTGGTGGTAGGTGTGGTGGTAGTTGTGGTAGGTGTGGTGGTAGTTGTGGTAGGTGTGGAGTGGTAATTGTGGTAGGTGTGTGGTAATTGTGGTAGGTGTGGTGGTAGTTGTGGTAGGTGTGGTGGTAGTTGTGGTAGTAGTAGCGAACCAAACTTAAGGACAATTTGAAAATCCAAAATATCTTTGTCAAATTTTAAGTCAGTCAGATACGCCCCCACTCTCTCTCTCTCTCTCTTCTCTCTCTCTCTCTCTCTCTCTCTCTCTCTCTCTCTCCCTTGACAGAATACATTGATTTTAATTTCAAAACTTTAATTCTGAAACAACAAAAAGTTTAAGTGATTTCTGAATGACAACTGAACACACACACACACACACACACACTAAGAACAAATGAACCCACGCTTGCAGCCACTGAGAGAGAGAGAGAGGAGAGGAGAGAGAGAAGAGAGAGAGAGAGAGAGAGAGAGAGAGAGAGAGGTTTAACTTAAGGTAAAAGTTCAATAGAGCTTAATAAAGAAGAACACTCTCTTTTCTCTCTCTGTTATCTCTCTGTTTATGTCTGTCTCTTTTTCTCTATCACTGACTCTTTCTTTTTGTCTGTCTGTCTGTCTGTCAGTCTGTCTGTCTGTCTGTAGCTCCACTCACTCTTCAAACACTGGACATAACTTTGGTCTCTTAACATAGACACAGCGCCAGATCGAGAAATCAAGAGCGCCTAGCGTCCATATGTGTACTTCGTGGGATTACGCCAGACTAATGTCTGCCAGCCTTCCTCCTCCACCCCACAACAGACACACTTATGGAAGCTACGCCAGACCAACGCTCCGCCAGCCTTCCTCCACCCCCACAATGACACACTTATGGAAGCTACCAGACAACGTCTGCCAGCCTTCCCTCCTCCACCCCACAATGACACACTTATGGAAGCGCCAAGACTAACGTTCACCAGCCTTCCTCCTCCACCCCCACAATGACACACACTTATGGAAGGCTACTGACCAACGTTCACCAGCCTTCCTCCACCCCCACAATGACACACCCTATGGAAGCTACGCCAGACTAACGTTCGCCAGCTTTCCTCCTCCACCCCCACAATGACACACTGCAGGAAGCGCCAGACTAATTGCCCACCAGCCTTCCCTCCTCCAATTCTCTAACAATGACATTAATTCTATGGAAGCAGCGCCATTCAACGTTCACCAGCCTTCCTCCTCCACCCTGGCCAATTGGTTACACTCCTATGGAAGCTACGCCAGACTAACGTTTCGCCAGCCTCTTCCCTCCTCCTCCACCCCCCCACAACACGACACACTTATGGAAGGCGCCAGACCAACGCGTTCGCCAGCCTCCTCCACCCCACAATGACACACTTAAGGGAAGCTACGCCAGACTAACGTGTTCACCGTACTCTCCCTCTCCACCGCAATAATGACACACTGCGGAAGCGCACGCTGGCCTGAACGTCTACCCAGCCTTCCCTCCTTCCAAATTCCCCACAATGACATATCATGGAAGTTTACGCCAGACCACAACGTCTGCCACGCCTTCCTCCTCCACCCCCCACAATGACACACTTATGGAAGCCAGACTAACGTCTTCCACCCCCACAACGACAGCACTTATGGGAAGGCGCTGCATTCAACGCCCAGCCCAGCCTTCCCTCCTCCACCCCACACCGACACATCTGGCGGAAGCTACGACCAATGCTCACCAGCCTTCCTCCTCCACCCCACAATGACACACACTTATAGAAGCATGCCAGACCAACGTCTACCAGCCTTCCCTCCACCACCCCACCGACACACTTAGCGGGAAGCTTACGCCAGACTAACGTCTCTACCCAGCCTTCCTCCCCACCCACAGCAATGATTAATTGGCGGGAAGTTACGCCAGATTCAACGTTCGCTGCTTCCTTCCTCCTCCACCCCACAATGACACATCGCGGGAAGTACAGAATTTAACGTCTGCCAACCTTCCCTTCCTCCACCCCCACACACGACACACTTATGGAAAGCCATGCCAGACCAACGTCTTCGCCAGCCTTTCCCTCCTCCACCCCACAATGACACACTGCATGGAAGCTACGCTGGGTATCTATCGTTCGCCAGCCTTCCTCCTCTCCACCTCTATAATAATACACTTATGGAAGCCACGCCAGACTAACGGGCTCACAGCCTTCCCTCCAATTCTACAATGTCGAGACACTTTATGGAAGCATGCAGATCAATGTTCAACACCTCTCCATTCACCCAACAATGACATACTTTATGGAAGCTACGCCAGACTAACGTTCGCCAGCCCCTCCACCACCCCACAACAGACACATCCCGGAAGCTACGCCAGACTAAATGTTCACCAGCCTTCCTCCACCCCACACAAGATTGGCTACCCCAGGAAGCTGGTTAAGACTGGGAATGTCTTGCCAGCCTTCCCTCCACCTGCACCCCACAATGACACACTTATGGTGCCACGCCGCAGACTCACCTGCTCCATGCCTTCCTCCACCCCAATGACACACACTATGGAAGCTACGCCACCTTTAACGTTCACCAGCCTGCACCACCTCTGCACATTTGATACACTGAGTGGAAGCCATGCCAGACCACACGCGTTCACCAGCCTTCCCTCTCTCCACCACCCCACAATGACACATTCCTATGGAAGCCACATGCAGACCAATGCCCACCAGCCTTCTACCCAATGAGGCCTGAGAAGTTGGCTGCCAGACTACGTCTGCCAGCCTTCCTCCACCCCACAATGAGACACACTTATGGAAGCTACGCCAGACTAATGTCACAGCTTTCCTCCAAATTTGGCTAATGACATTATCAAGGAAGCCGCAGACTAACGTTCACCAGCCTTCTCCTCCACCCCGCACAATGACACATCATGGCGGAAGCTACACGACTAACGTTCACCAGCCTTCCCTCCTCCACCCCACAATGACACACGGAAGCACACCAATGTTCCGCCAGCCTTCCTCCTCCACCCCACACGACACACTCCTATGGAAGCTTACGCCAGACTAACGTCTGCCAGCCTTCCTCCTCCACCCCACAATAATTCTATAGAAGCAGACCAGTCGCTCCGCCAGCCTTCCTCCTCCACCCCACACAATGACACACTTATGGAAGCTGCCAGACTAACGTTCACTCAGCCTCTCCACCCCAATGACATACTTGGCGGAAGCCACAGACCAACGCCTGCCAGCTTCCTCCTTCCAATTCCTCACAATGACAATATACCTCTAGTGGAAGCAGATCAGCCTCCTCCAATCTTGCCAATGACATGACTGATAGACTAGTCTGCCAGCCTCCTCCTCCAAACTTAATGACACACTTTATGGAAGCTGACTAACGTCACCAGCCTTCCCTCCACCCCACAATGACACTTATGGGAAGCTGGCTGCCAGACCAACGTTCGCCAGCCTCCAACTCAGTACTGACATACCGGCGGGAAGCTACGCCAGACTAACGTTCAACAGCCTTCCCTCCTCCACCCCACAATGACACCCTATGGAAGCTACCAGACTAACGTTCGCCAGCCTTCCTCCTCCACCCCACAATACCTGATATTAATTTATGGAAGCCACGCGCCAGACTAACGTTCACCAGCCTTCCCTCCTCCAATTTGGCACAATGACATGACTTTGCGGAAGCCGCTGCCAGACTAACGTTCACCAGCCTCCCTCCTCCACCCCGCCACGACACTATGGAAGCTGGGCGCCAGACTAATGCCCGCCAGCCTTCCTCCTCCACCCCACAATGACACACTTATGGGAAGC